AATTAATTTGCATAACGTTTCTCCAATAAAATATGATGGTGGACCAGAAAAAGAAAGGTATTTGTCGGTTTTTATCACACGAACCTGTTATACCCGCGAGAGTAACCAATGGTCACTGCAACATTATAAAATTAACATACAAGGCGCTCCACATTTACTCGGAAATACCTGTCAAATGTAACATTGTGTACGATACACTGAGCAGGCGTGCATCAGGCCTCCATTAGCCACGTGTCTGGTGAGCATGCGAGTGAAAGGGGCGTCCACACGAGTCGTGTTTGGTAAGGGAACGCTATTGTTTCATGTCATACAACATAACACTTGTGAATGCTTACTCTTCAGTCCCCTCCAATAGGCCCTGGACATCCATCACACCCCTTTTATATAACCACCTCCTCATTCCTTATGGAGCCTTCCAGATGGTTCTTCAAATCTCCACCATCTCCTCTTCTGCCTCAACTTTCTTCTGCCCGGTTGTGCACAGATGTCATTCATTAATTATTTTACTTCAGGTGTCCTTACGTGACCCCTACGCAAGGTTACTCGACGAATATCATATTTCAATGTGCCATTTTCCGTCAACTGATGTAACCAAGTTTGGACTCAGGCATTCCTTTTTGACCTCAATGTAAAACTAAAACTCTAACCAAAGCCATTAATGGATATGTAACGGACACTCTCCTCACAGGGAAAGGTTTTAGTCAATTTATGCCACCTCCATCACACACAGCTCCCTCTTACATCCGCAGCGCTCTCCTCCAATCACGGTCCCTTCTCCCATTCCCTTCCCTTCCCCTCATGCCTGTAACCTCATTCTCTGCCAGCAATCACAGATTGTCACAACCAATCACAGATCGTCACAACCATTCACAGATTGTCACAACCAATCACAGATCGTCACAACTAATCACAGATTGTCACAACTAGTCACAGATCGTCACAACCAATCACAGAACGTCACAACCAATCACAGATTGTCACAACCAATCACAGATCGTCACAACTAATCACAGATTGTCACAACCAATCACAGATCGTCACAACTAATCACAGATTGTCACAACCAATCACAAATCGTCATACCACGGGGTTACTCCCGATCAAGTAGGTGGCTGCAATGAAGAAAGGGGAGGCTGCCTGCAGAGATGGTACTGCCCCAGAATTCCTCCAGGGCTTAGGCCATCGGGGACTCCAATGGCTGACAAAAACTGTACACAAAAACCATGAAAACTGAATGCAATACAAAAGCATGGCGGGAGGCGATGGTTATTGCCATTCCCAAACTGGAAAGCCAACCAACGACCCAGGAAGCTATAGGCCAATATCACTCCAGTGCACGACTGATAAATTCCTGGAATGCATCATTATCATCATCATCCTCCGGAGAATCAGCCCCCTTGTCGAGTCGGTAATCCGTGAAGAACAAGCGCGGGATTCCAGCCTGGATATAGTTGCTGTGACTAAGTTTTGGCCCCTTGAGACGCACATTGAGGCCAGATTCCAGAAGAAATCCGAGACCGGCGCAGCCTCTGTGGACTTGTCATCAGCCTAAAACTCTCTGGATTGAGGGCTTGATGTTGAAGCTTGCAAGGATCATTTACTGCCTCGAAACAATACGCCTGCAATGGATGGTGAGCAATAGGCGACTGCGTGTCTATATGGGCAACAAATCCAGCTCACCCCGATTCCTCAACAATGGATTGCCCACAAGGCTCAGTGCTCGCGCCAACGCCCTTCAATGTCTATACGACAACATGCCACCAACCCGGTCACACAGATTTGTACGTGCGGATGACATTGCCCTGGCAGCGCAAGCAGCCGCTTTCAACAACATCAAATCCACTCTGAACCAAGACCCTAAACACCATGGGGGAATATATCCGGAAATGTAGGCTCAAGCCACAACCCCAAAGTCACTGCATTTTATCTTGATAATGAGAGCCAAGCACATTCTGAAAGTGACCTTCTGCGGCAAAACTGTGCGACACGCTCCCACTCCAACCTATCTCGGAGTGAAGCTGGACTGTACACTAACCTTCAATGACCACCTGAAAAAGGTAGCTGCCAAGACCAAAACAAGGGTCAACCTGGCCCAGAAACTGGCAAGCACAAGCTGGGGAGCATCAGTACCAGTGCTATGGACATCAACGATGGCCCTTGTATACTCTGTAGCCGAGTACTGTGCACCAGTATGTACCTAATGTAGTCCCACTCGATTTGTTAATGTTCAACTAAACACTGCGATGCGGTGCATCACTGGACCCAAACACCCTGGCTGCCGGTGCTGTCACAAATCTCTCCCCCACCCATCCACTGCAATTCTGCAACCCTCCGAGAAGTTCTGCGAATCGAGGAAAACAATCGACCCCTTCCCAATAAATCAGGACGTCAATAATATCACTCGTCATGGCTTGAAGTCACGCAAGCCCTTTTGGACCCATGCGCTTAACATTCAACAATGCTAATTCAACCCCGATGAAGCTTGGAGAACTGAACAGAGTTCAAAATAACTGACAAATACCCTTTGAAAGACCCATAGCAGAAGATCCCTGGGGTTTGATCTTCCACGAAGCTCATGGTCCACCCTAGACCACATCCACTGCACAAACCATGGCAGATGCGGATACCTGATGCACAAATGGTAAGTAAAAAAAACTCCCAAGTGTGCGACTGTGGTCATCAAGAACAGACCGTACAACATACAGTGATTCAATGCCCCGATCCACAAATACGAAGGAAACGTCACAGCGATGATACACTCCGCTACTCCTGACCCGATTATCTGGCTTGAACACTTGAATGTGAAATTGTAGCTATTGCTCTGCATCAACATCAGCAGCTATACAAAAGAAGAAGAATTAAATTGTGGGATTTTGGGGATTTGACCTATGACACTGGCATATTAGTGATTTCCTGTTATAATTGTTTAATGTCCGCAGCAGCCATTTCTCTAATTGCAAAAATAACTGGTAGGCTGTGGGAACATAACTGTGAGCATTAGGAGGCAAGTACACTCTTATGTAATATATCTGCATTTACAAACTTCCCATAACAGAACAAACAATTTGGCCGAGCCCTATGAATCGTGCTCTTAATAAAAAAAATATTGTGGTAACCGTGTAGAAACCATTTTGTCAATCCACTGCTGGATGAGGGCCTCTCCACACCGTGCTGGCCATGAAAGAATATTTGTCCATACTTCACCACGCTGGTCAGTGCGAGTTAGGGAAATAGGGGGGGTGCGGGCAATGGATTTTATTGCACTGCTCGACTACAGCTGCCTTCTGTGCATGGTGCTCACCTAAAAGAGCATTCTCCAAGCCCCATCCTGCTTAGTTCCTGCATATATAATGAGACCGGGTGCACTCTGGATGATTTGGTTATATGGAATCCATAAACATCTGTAATATCTATAATTTTTTAAAATCTATCGGGCACCTAGAATGGTCTAGATATACAGTATCAGCAATATATTACTTTGGCATAAGGCAAAAGAGTGCTTATTTCACAACTGGAATGAATCAGACTAACATTCGTATTATCTTGTCCTGTACTATTGTTTAAGGTTCGTTGGTTTGTTCCTATTATTGTACAAGTCTGTAACCTATTGACTTAGTTTCATTAATCAGATATGTTACTTCTACAAAGATTTCCACTCAACCATGCGCGGATGCTTTGCATGTCTATAACAATGGCCCGCTGTAGCAGACACATTTAAAAAGTAGACAAACTCTAAATTATATACACCATTTTTATTCAAAACTATTAACTATTTTTTATTGTACCAGATAAGTCCCACTTAGCTTTTTAGCTCTTTTTCAGAAGCGACCTGGCCACAAATGATAACTCAACGAAGTGGCTTATCGTGTGGAAATGTATAGCAGACAAATACTCGAAACGCACGTTTCTAAATGTGAAGGGGAAAAACCGGAGGACCCGGAAAAGAAATTATCTGCGACCACGGGAAGAGAGACACGCAAACTCCAAATATACATCAGGTATCAGGGGCTGGATCGAACCCACGACCTCCTCCATACCAGGCGAGGTAGTTAACATCTCACCACCGTGGCACCCGAGCACAGGAACAGCATTTTACGAAATAGTCGTTTTGAGACAAATACCGTATTCGCAATACTCTTTATGTGAATGTTAACAATTACGCTTCATTAATGGATTTGCCATAGGTATTATTTGTACATATTTACAGAGTATATTTCTATTATGTAATCGCAAATAAAATGTAAGGGTGCAGCCCTGAACTTTCTAGCTCACCGCTCAGGACACCAACTCAAGAAAATGCTAAATAGCTTACAAGTGTTACAATAGTAATCAGATTCATCTACCTGCCAAGGATGGTGTTTTCAGCCCCTGCAGAAGACCGTTTGGTAATTATTATTCACAAAGCTTGGTACAGCCAAACGGTGTGTAACCACCAACTGAGTGTCCCCATATCAGTTATTGGCTTTTTGATGTTAAGGATTTTCATTCTAATAAATAATCTCAAAGCACTCCTTTAAACTCAATGTCTTATTGTACTCTTTTGCAAAAAAAACCTAGAAAATTCAAAACCAATAAAAATGAGTAGCAGAACATTTACAAATGCGCTCTTGTAAGACAGTGTATTACCAAACTCATTACTTTAATATGTATTTCAATTGAGAGTACAGTACTGCATTGATAAGGATGAACAACATTTTGCCATCACGAGACTTAACATCTCGTGTTTAACAAACTCGGGCATCAGAGACAAATGTGTTACGCACTAAATATTTTTGGGATTTATTTGAGTTGAGAGTATAGCTTATTATGACCATGATTGCCATCCTATATATAAAAAACTATATTTCAGTGTTGTGTTGAAAAGCAAGTGAAGAAAATATGCAGGAAAGCCTTTGCGCATAATTGACTGCTTTTTAAAGATGAACCTTGCACTGCAGCACAACGTCATCAACACACGTGGTTGGTGGGCAGGCTATATAAAGCCAGTTGGAATTTGACAATGTAAGAACATTTTACTTGCCCGTGGAATGGTAAACATATTTTTTTAAGGGTACAGGCAAAGAAGCTATGTAACGTTAATACGACTTTACTTGTAAAGTAAAAAACGTATTCTTGGTAAGACGACAATGGAGTTTTATTCTCTTGTTCTCGAACATTATATTATATTGTGCAGTTTTGCATTCTTCTAAGAGTTTGTTTAGCTCAGTTATGTGCAAATGTAAAAAAAAGCAATTCGAAATTAAATGTTCTAACCATTTTTTCCTTCTTGTGATTATTTCATAATACAAAATGGTTAACATTATGTTGTTGTTTCTCGGTGTTATACGATTGTACTTTATCATATGCTATCATTTTAAAATGTTGTTTTGTGTGTGTGGACTAGTTTAACGGGACTTTTCTCACTTTCAGGCATCAAACATGAAGAACCAATGGGCAATGATCGCCATCCTCATCCTGACTGCATATGTCATGAAATCTCAAACTCAAACCAGTGAGTTTCAACATTAGCTGTAGGCAATGTTTGTTTAAAGTTTCAGTCTGCTTTTTTAAGTGCAATGTTATTCAGAACATGTCTATTAGCGCTGGGTCATTTTCACAATTTCTAGCCTGGAGTCACAAATTAATTCTGAAAATGGATGCCGTTCGTGAATATTATTGGTGTAATCTTGACCCTTCTCATCCTCTTTATTCCCAATCTTCTCTCTGGCTCTCTTTCTGTCCATCCATCTCCCTGTGCACAATCCCGTTTTCGGTCTTTCTCCCTCCGTTGCACCCCCTCCACTGGAATCAACTTCCCCTGCACAATGAGCAGTCCTCCCTCCTTAACCTCCTTCCGTCCCTCTCTTAAAGCCTCACCTACTTCTCCGTCGCCCTTTCGCTTCCTCTCCCCTCGCCCCTGCACTCCTTCCCGTCCCTCCCCTACTCTTTCGTGATCCCTTAGCACCCTCTCTATCACGGCCACTCATTCCTCAAGCCCTTGTAAGCCCCTAGCATCTACATAATTCTGTGATGGTCATCGTTTAAAAAAACGATGTCAAGTGCCTCGAGTGAAGGCGCTCTCTAGATAAAAAATTAGATTAGAATCGTGGAATTGTGGACAGGTTTGGGGTGGGGACAGCAGCTTATGTAACCATTTCACTGGTGATTGTGGGCAATACCGACCCACTGATATTGACACCGATTCCAGCTGGCCGACACTCTATCACAGAAATCACCACTAAATTATATGATATGGGTAACGGCCACAGGGAGTAAGAACTGCATCGGCATCAGAATTATTATCAATTTCTCTCAGAGCATCACGGACAGAAAGCTCACCGCCATGATCAGAAATCTTGATTTAAAGCTTTTGTGACTGCAGGAATTCATATTATTTGCGTATTTCGGTAAAGTCACGTAGATAGAATAATAAACAATATATCACGACGTTTCGATCGCAACACAAGCAATCGTCATCAGGTGAAAAAATATAGCGGGAGAGCTGCTGAGGCAGGAAAAAATAAGACCTAAAGAATATGATCAGAAATGTTCTATATTGGTGGAATCTTTCATTGGTGGAATCTTCCCTGTTAGAATTCCGTTAGAATTCCATTAGAATGAATGAAAATGTTAACATGGGGTTTGCCCATATACGAAGCACCATGTATGTATGCTAACCTTATTTTGCACTATACGTAGCCAACGGTGATAATGGGAGGTGTGGGGATCGTGCTGTGTGGAAATCGTAGGAACTGAATATATATCAATCCCGGAGGACTCTCCCAGCCGTATTGTCTATCGTGCAACAGTAGTACAGTTTGAGACAGCTGCTGCGTTATGTCTTAGCTTGTCTGCAATTATATCACTGTTAACAATTGCCATTTCCTCGACAGTAAACTCTGGAGCAGTTTATTTAGCCTGTACATGTAACTATTATACAGATAAGGTTTACGTGGTTATTAGTATACCTGATTCAAAATGTGTCCCTTTTGCCACATGCATCATTTCATTAATGAATACTTTGTTTTAAAATAATATTATAACAGTTTATAAGACAATACTACATACCATTTGTACATATGTTGAACTTCTTTCGCACCGTACGTAGCCAACCGTGCTAATCAGAGGCGCATTTCTCCCATGTTCGTTTATTTTATTTTAACGCCCTACATTTGTTTACGATGACTAAAGTTAGTTTTTTAAATGGTGTGCCAGATGAATTAGTTCTGTCTGCTGGTTTAACATTTACATATTTCTGCAATCTGGCCAAGAGCATCTTGTAAATGATGAGGCGCTCAATGGTTTCCGCTGTTAAATTAAATATACTGGCTTGCAAAAAAAGATCATTACCCTTGATCACTCAAATAGTTTTATATGGTGGAGCAGCAGTGCAGTGGTTAGTGCACTGCGTCATAAACCTGGTTTACTGAGTTCAATTCCCAGCCACAGTAAACTCCATTTGAACCGGTCCTGGACCAAACCACATAATTGATCAACTTGGTAAAGTATGGTCAAACGACGGACACGGTATGGTGAGGCCTCCATTCAGCAGTGGGTTGATAACGACTGAAAATTATTACTCGTAAAAATGTTGAATAGATATTGGTATACATTTTTCGTAATTTTGATTACTGCTTTGGGGCTAGATTTTAATTAAACGTAAGAACAATCGTTGACCGCGAAACGTAAAACGTAGGATTTTTTGTAGAAAATACAACGATCCATATTTGTTTTAGGGGTAGTGCCAAAAGGCTAAATTCTGGTCGGTAACCCTCCACCATCCGACTAGGTTGTCATGTTTACAGTAATATTATTTATATGTGTTAATGAAAAGACTTTTCATTACTGAATTTAACATCAACATAAATCAGCATGGTTTTGAGCTTCATCAGGTAGTTTACTTGGAAATTCAGAGTTATTGGGCTTTAAGTACCTGCTGAGACATCACGAACTGCCAAATAATTGTTATTTGCATCTATTTGTAATCTGTACCTGGCTATCTTTTAAGGTGTGAATTATTTAGAAGACTTTCAAATAAGTACATTTCAAAGCAGTCAATTTCAAAGGACTTAGTATATAACTCTCTGCTCTATCAAAGTTGTTTTATATGAGAATTGCCTCTCTTATTACATGTTGCCCTGATGAGAATGGGTCCGTTCATTGTTTTCGTCATGTTATTTATTTGTGTGACTCATCATAATCTACAGCCCTTTGTAAATCCACTGCTTCATTGACCAAACCTCCCAATTCCCATGCCAGTCAATGGGGATTTTTTTTTAACATTGAGTTTTACCATACTTCACCACGCTGGTCAATGCGGGTTGGTGAAATAGAGGCCCAGGATGAGTCAATATGTCACTCACCACTGAAGTGAGGCATAGGCAGGAATTCAACTCAGGTCATCTCCACGACCTTCATTGTCATTCTAGATTTGAAGTTTTCGTGACTGCAAGGATCCATACTCTTTGGGTTTTTCGGTAAAGTCACGTAGGTGAAAAATAAATGCATTTCATTTAAAATAAATTAAAAAGAAAACAACTAAATTAATTTAATTTAGTTGTTTACTTTTTTATGTATTTTATTTTATTTTTTCCTACGTGACTTACATGTCATGTAAAGGTTTTATTCCGGCAGTGGGTTATAAAACATTGTTTCTGTTAATTTGTTTTTCTAAATGGTAGATTTTGAGAAGCCCATCTGAAAGCTTACCAAATAGTGCGAATATGATTACTTATACAAGATTACTTAATTTATCCATGTTCTTATTCAACAGGCACACCAGCACTGCCCGAAGCTACTGAAGACACAACAGACGAGACATATCCCACAGACGCATCATCAACAGAAGGCTCTTCATCATCAGATGCTATCTCAGACAGTACTGCATTCACATCAGACTTCCAATCGTTTTCCTCAACATCACCTGACATTGGATCAGAAACTACGTTAGATGTCAGCACATCACCAACAGAAAGCACACCATTAAGTGCTTCAGAATCATCACCATCTGCAAACACAGCCACTACTGATTACGTTTCAGCTACATCTCCCCTATCAGATTCCACTGGATCTGTGAGTGCATCAGATCCAAATGCTTCAGAATCATCACCATCTGCAAACACAGCCACTACTGATTACGTTTCAGCTACATCACCACTATCAGATTTCACTGGATCTGTGAGTGCATCAGATCCAAATGCTTCAGAATCATCACCATCAGTAAACACAGCCACTACTGATTACGTTTCAGCTACATCACCACTATCAGATTCCACTGGATCTGTGAGTGCATCAGATCCAAATGCTTCAGAATCATCACCATCTGCAAACACAGCCACTACTGATTACGTTTCAGCTACATCGCCACTATCAGATTCCACTGGATCTGTAAGTACATCAGATCCAAATGCTTCAGAATCATCACCATCTGCAAACACAGCAACTACTGATTACGTTTCAGCTACATCACCACTATCAGATTCCACTGGATCTGTGAGTGCATCAGATCCAAATGCTTCAGAATCATCACCATCTGCAAACACAGCAACTACTGATTACGTTTCAGCTACATCACCACTATCAGATTCCACTGGACCTGTGAGTGCATCAGATCCAAATGCTTCAGAGTCATCACCATCTGCAAACACAGCCACTACTGATTACGTTTCAGCTACATCACCACTATCAGATCCCACTGGATCTGTGAGTGCATCAGATCCAAATGCTTCAGAATCATCACCATCTGCAAACACAGCCACTACTGATTACGTTTCAGCTACATCGCCACTATCAGATTCCACTGGATCTGTGAGTGCATCAGATCCAAATGCTTCAGAATCATCACCATCAGTAAACACAGCCACTACTGATTACGTTTCAGCTACATCACCACTATCAGATCCCACTGGATCTGTGAGTGCATCAGATCCAAATGCTTCAGAATCATCACCATCTGCAAACACAGCCACTACTGATTACGTTTCAGCTACATCACCACTATCAGATCCCACTGGATCTGTAAGTGCATCAGATCCAAATGCTTCAGAATCATCACCATCTGCAAACACAGCAACTACTGATTACGTTTCAGATACATCACCACTATCAGATTCCACTGGATCTGTAAGTGCATCAGATCCAAACGCTTCAGAATCATCACCATCTGCAAACACAGCCACTACTGCTTACGCGTCACCTACATCACCACTGTCAGGGGCCACTCTGCCTGTAGGTCCAGCAGGCCCAAGCACTTCACCATCAGCAAACACGGCACAATCAGCGGCGACAAATGCCTCCTCCCTCACACATACAACATCCCCAACAAATGCACTAAGTACGCCCCCACCGACAGTCCCTTCTACTAAAACGACTGGCGCCACCACACCTACAACTACAAAACAAACCACAGGTAAATGCAATATCTTATTTGACAATGTTAATTCCTCTGGCCTCATTCCACCACACATTTGCAAGAGTTTCTGCTTCAGAAACCAAATTGCCTTTACATTTTGTCCCATCCAAGCCTGTGGCATAACTCACAGACTGTATTAAATTAGTTTTAAAAAACGCATGAATGCTAATAATCAAAGCGAGGTTAAGTTGCTTTTGTAAAAAATGCGGCCACTTTATATGTGAACGATTTCCAAATATATTGATAAAGATGGTTATTCACTGCGATGGTAGAATTTAGAGTAAGTAAAAGCCTACATTCATCACTGCAGAGCAGCAGAGAGGCTGAAAATTGCATTTCAAAGTTACAAAAACTCATTTTGCGTAAATCAACAGTATTCTTAACTGCTTGATTGTTGCAAAATCAATGATTTATATGTTTAAGATATGTTTACGCTCTTTCGTTTATACAGCAATCACTAGATACCTTTGCAATTATTTACATATATTATAAATGCCGTATTTAAATGTGTCATTAAAGAAGTGACAATGGTTTGAACTCACTTATCTATGAGAATTTTTTTTTCCAGACCCGTGCATAGAATGTAAAAATGGAGGAACACCAGAATGTATGACTAACACTTGTCAATGTCAAGCCCCATTTGCTGGAAAATATTGTGAGAACATTCAACCAAGTAAGTAAATAATTTTAGTGATACAGAAAATGAAACAATTTCCAAACAACTTACAGTAATTGTCAGGAAGCACTTGTGTTACAGTAATGTTTTGTTTTGTAATTATTCCTGGTGTTTAAGTATTAACTGGAATAAAGGGTGGCTGCATGAAGTGACCCACTTGTAATAACACAGACCAAAATCACACTTTAGCAGTTCACTTTTTGTATAATTGTGAGGAAAGACAGCTAATCCGGTCATTTCTGATTCTGTGTTTTTATTATCACAGAATATGTAGAGCCTTTGAAATAGAATTTGCGTGTGCTTCAAGTGCTGCATTTAATTATGAATGACTACATGTTGATGTGAACAGTGCAAACGGGATTGTTATTTAGTTTAATATGTAGCCTTTCGCGACCGATATCATCCATTAGAGTTTTTTGGGTTAGACCCAAAAATATATATAACCCAAAAAACCTCTATTAGGAATTGTTATTTATAAGACTGTTGTCCAGAAGCCTAAATGACTGGTGAAGAGTTGTTAGCTAAAACGTAGGGTCTGTTTACTTTCTCGTGTATTGCATACATCACATATGTTTTGTTTATTACAGATATTACCACTGTCAAAACAGCAAATGTCAGCGTACAAATAACTAATTTTAATTATACATCCCAATATGGTAATCAAGATTCATCCGAATATAAAGAATTTGTAGAATTATTTAAAAATTTGGTAAGTATGACATGTAAATGTTTAATATTTGATGTACTATTTAAAGAACATGCACGATTTAAGTGATTCAATAGCTAAATTTTCTGCAAAAATTTATCACTGAGCCTTGTGAGGTTGTACTGAAAATAATGTTGATAAGTGAACGTATTTTTGTATTGTTTTGTATGTGGGAGAAAACCAGTGCTCTTATAATTAATCTAAGCATATTTAATATAAAACACTTTGCATTTATTTACCCTCAGTTTTTAACTTCATGATATACAGTACTTAAGCACCATTGGCCAGTTGCATCGACTACCTTAATTCTGATTTAGATAGGAATCTAAATATATTTTTCACTGAATTTGTTAATTTCATGCACCTGACTACATGTTTCTTGACAAAACTTAAGAAAAGTCCCTAAATAAAAGATGAAATCCTGTCTGGTACGAAATGCTTTCCTTGGGTGTACTATCAGTTAGTCACAGTGGAAGGTGCAGCATGTGCTTCCATAGGAAAATATAAATGATTTGTTATGCTTTGTGTGTTTATGGTATCATGTTTGATACAACAAAAATAACACCCTTTTTGACATACTCTTTGGGTCTTTCGGAAAAAGGCACATAGATAGAAAAATAATAGATCACAACGTTTCGATCCACCACAGGCAATCGTCTTCAGGTGAAATACCCAAAGAGTATGAATTCCTGCAGTCACGAAAGCTTTAAATCAAGACCTTTTTGACATTTAAGAAGTCTTCCTTCGCCCTAAGATAACTTGAAATATTTCCTACAATTTGGTAAAATAATTATCGTGGAAATATATTAACAATAAGGATATATGACGTGAGTTGATTTTGAAAGCAGTCAGAAAAAAAATTTAAACACTGAATTACATTGTCAGTGGGGTGTTTTTATCGTATTTTTGGGGAGTGGTGGCACAGTGGTTAGTGTGCTGTGCTGTGATTGAGCAATCATTGGCAGGATGTTATTAACCAGGTAAAACCTGAACTGTTTATGGTTGTTACATCATATCTGCCGGATACTAGTCTATTTTTCCAAGTTAATTTCCCCCCACATCCCCAGCGTTTGGCATTGTTGCTGCATTGGCACTCGTGCACCGCCCGTGCCTTCTGGTGTTGTTGTTACACTTGGGCTACTCCCATCCCCAAACCCTTATAAACAGTTTGCCTTTAGAGGCTGACTCCTTTGCCTGATAACGACCGCTTGTGTTGCGATCAAAACGTCGTGATTTGTTTTAGTTAATTTTATTTATAATTACGTGACTTTACCGAAAGAACCAAAGAGTATGAGTTTAATTGTTACGACTGAGATCTGTATTGTTGTTTCATATTTTAGATGGAGCCCATCTACAAGGAAATTATTGGATATAAAGACATCAACGTTCTAGATATAAGGTAAATTTTTCTTTTTTAATACGTATACATATTCAGCATTTGCTTATCTTCACAGTAATTGTCAAAACACTGCATTGGCATACATTCACCTTAACTAATCTTTCCCATTCAGAACAAATATTTATACGTGATTCATCTTAATGAACTTCCACGTGTCTGTCAAGGCAATGGCTGCGTACACCATAGCGAGATTTGAGGGAGACCATATTGTCCGGCTTGTCACCTTTGATTATTTCAAACGCTTCTGTTATTTGCTGCTAAAGATCACTCAGGTTTTTCAGGTTTTTTTTACAAATACTTGAATCTTTTCACATAACCCCAACATTCATCCACTCTGCTGTGGAGTTACAATGCTTTTTATAGAGGATGTAGTCCCTCTGGATGCCGCGTGTTGTGCAGTGAACTGATCCTAAATCAAGGGGACACGGTTCTAGGCGGTGTATCACGCCAACAAGCACTCACACATCTTTCGGGTGTCGTTGTCGTTACTTTTATACCCTCATGATTCACATGGAGGTATACATGTGCCAAACAGAGAATTCTTCAAACACATTGCATGCAAATATTGTACATACAAAGCAGTCGTGTCTTGCCACATGAGATGTTTTGGTATCTGTATATCAACATATATGTACAGTATTACGTTGATCTTCATTGAAACCTCCTTTGCCAGTAGTAAAATATGATCATTGGTTTTATACCCTTTTATCTGGCAACAAAACTGACACCTTTTTTACAAGGCGTCATGTTTGCATTGACCACAATACCTGCAGTCGGAATGCAAACAAAAAACACATATCAATTTCAATTATCATATTTTGCTACTGGCAAAGGAGGTTCCAATGGTGTAAATGCTTACCCCGAGCTCTCATACTCTGATGGTGCATTGTCTTTGAGTTGTGCGCCTTTTGGTGTCATCTGGTCCAACCAATGTGAGACTAGGCTCTAAGGAAAGCTGTCTCAGGTGTGGACCAATCAATTTCAAGGACAGTGCACATACATTATCAGAGTTGTGTTTTTTGTTTTCATTCCGACTGCAGGTATTGTGGTCAATGCAAACATGACTCCTTGTAAAAAAAGGTGTCAATTTTGTTGCCAGATAAAAGGGTAAAAAACCAATTATCATATTTTGCTACTGGCAAATGAGGTTCCAATGGTGTAAATGCTTACCCTGAGCTCTCATACTCTGATGGTGCATTGTCTTTGAGTTGTGCGCCTTTTGGCGTCATCTGGTCCAACACCATGTGAGACTAGGCTCTAAGGAAAGCTGTCTCAGGTGTGGACCAATCAATTTCATGGACAGTGCATACATTATCAGAGTTGTGTTTTTGTTTGCATTCCGATTGCAGGTATTGTGGTCAATGCAAACATGACTCCTTGTAAAAAAGGTGTCAGTTTTGTTGCCAGATAGAAGGGTAAAAAAACAATTATCATACGTTGATCTTCTTTTGCAACGTATGTAGCCAACCGTGCTCATCGGAGGTGTGGGGGAAGGACAACAAAATAAACACGAAAAGCAATTATAAAGAAATTAGTTTTCAATCTAAATTTAAAAGTGTATAGCTCCCAGTGTCTCCCAAATATCGGAAAAAGAGCATTCCAGACAGCCACAGAAGCGCATTTGAAAGCACGTGATGCAGTGGTCGTGTTTGTAACATATTCCTGAATGCATTCTAAAAATATGCCGCAATACATATTTACGGTCTGGATGATAGATTTTAAACAAAACTGAGTAAAAACATAATTCTCTTCTGTATAGGCTGACAAGGACTGTGCTGTATTTTACAACATCTTTCGGGAATGTGTGATGATGAGTTATTAATTGTGTCACGTGTGCATTTTGTCCATAATTAATGTTAACAGACCGGGAAGTGTATTTGTGAACCATACAGTGCTATTTCAGTATAGTAATGACGTGGATGTCATTGAAACATTAAACAACGTGGACCTTGAAATCAAAAAATTATTAAGTGAACAAAACTGTATCAGCAATACAAGCACGACTGAAAGAGGTACGTAATAAATACATCTAAAACGCACAAACTAATCCATGAGGCTAAGGCGTATTTCAGCATTGCCAAGGTCCGGGTTCAAAACGTGGACTCCCCACTGAAGGCCAAATTAAACACATTCCTGCGGAGGGAGCTGGTAGGAACGTTGGGTTGCTCGGTCAATGGCCAGGGTCAACGGCGGCGTGGTGTATTCCGCAAATATGGCCAACTGTGAGGGCGGGCACAAGCCGGCGTGAGTAGGTTAAACGTTGAGTTTTATAAGGGCGGACTGGTACCGGTCCGTGGCCTGTTAGGAACTGGGCCGCACAGCAGCAGGAGGCTAGCGGTGAGTCAGCGCGTGGCCTGCCCATTATTTTATTGACCACTTCCGTCCGCGCCTCTTTCCCGCACTGCGCACTTGTCTCTTGCACAGTATTGGTAAGCCCACAAGCTGACCCCTAGTAGCCAGAATAAGTAAAAAACAAACGTCGCTGGAGAACTTCTTTGAGAAGGGGAAAAGACCCAATGATGAACCCCCCCCCCCCCCCCCAGTCCGTGAAAACAATGTTCTTCCACAAAACCGGTCCCTGGTGCCAAAAAGGTTGGGGACCGCTGCTTTATAAGCAGCCTGCATCAGCAGCTTTCCTGCTACCTTATATAACCTCTTGTTGCAGCAGTTCTTTCTCACCTGATGACGGTTGCTTGTGTTGCGATCGAAACGTCGTGATTTATTTTTTTCTACCGATGTGATTTTAGATTTGCAGTTTTCGTGACTGCAAGAATTCATACTCTTTGGTTTTTTCCGTAAAGTCACGTAGGTAAAAAATTAAATAAAAAAACAACTAAATTAAATCACGACGTTTTGGAGGCAACACAAGCTTGCGTCTTCAGGTGGAACCGTCACAGCAAAATTACTGTATCCAGTAATTTGTGACTTTACCGAAAGAACCAAAGAGTATATGTAATGCTCGTAGAATGCATACCTATTAAAATGCTAAATACATCGAATGAGTGATCCAGTTTCTCATGTTGTTTGTTGTAATACACAGCCAACTGCAATGGATTTATATTGAATGCGGAGAATACCACAGTAATAGACGGAGACGACCTTGGTAAGTGTTTTGTTTGGCGAAAATGATTCATTGTAGTTATTAGGCATACAGTATTTGCATTCATTAACGTAATGAACATTAAAAATTTAATTATCGGTCAAATAAAAATGGTACTTTGGCATTTCGCGAATGCACAAGTGTGTACAGTATTCATACATGTCAACCAATTCGGTTTACCCGTATTCTTGTACAAGCAAATTAAGTTTTCAGGTTTCAATACCGGCAATGTTCTTTTCTATTTGTTTGTGTTTCTCCCTTGTGATGGGACTTTGTAGGATGAACGTTGAAATTTATAAGGGCACGGGGTAACGCATAAGGTCTAAGTTGGTCTGTAATAAGGTAGGCACTGATAAGGGGTTGACAGGTGTGAGTATTGTTCATCATATGAACATCACATGATGAAGATACAACTAGTTCACAACGCTTTATAATGTCCACTTTAGTTTCCATCGTAATAGTGTGCCTCTTCTTACTAGCACCCTCAACACTTTCACCACTCTTACGCTTTGGAGACATGATGGGGGTTAGTTTAACACGTAGGCTCTCGCGACCAATATCATCCATAATAGAGTTTTTTTGGGTTAGATCGCGTAAATATATGTGTCGTTAAACCCGCCACCTACAGACACAGCCAAGCAGTAAGGTGTGTCACGTAAACAGAATAGCACACCGGTGTGCTGTACGAGTAACGAATTGGCATGCTCGATTTACGTGACAAACCTTACTAACTCACTTTTTTGCTCGTCCAAGGACGGGTGTATATTGCAGTAAATCAGAAATGTTACATAAAAAAATTGTTCAGCTCATGATTATTAATGAGGGGGGGGGGGGTTGCCCCATGTGGAGTGACGTCACACGCTGATGGTTATTGGGGAGGGGTGCGGCATGTGGAGTGACGTCACTCCCTCATGGTGATTGTGGAGGGGTGCGGCATGTGGAGTGACGTAACCCGCTCATAATTATTAATGAGGGGAGGGGTGCGGCATGTGGAGTACGCGACCCTCTTGTGCGTGATTGTAAATGTCCACTCGGGCATGAAAATTAATGAAGGGGGTGGGGGGCCTCTTTTGTACTGACGTCACGCACGGATGCAGCACTGCGCTGCGTAGATTTATTTTTTACCGTCACTTTCTGTAAAGAAACGTCATTTGAAACGATGTGGGTAATTGGCCGTGTCGGGTGGTGGCGGGTTTAACGACACATTTACATATTTACGCGATCTAACCCAAAAAACCTCTTATGGATGATGGGGGTTGATAATGTTCGTGAAAAGCGCAGAGAACGTCGTAGTGAACCGCAGAGCGGACAACACAACAACAGAGAATGACCGCTGCCTAGGCAGAAATGCTGGAAATTCTGGGTAATGAATGGGAATGCTGGGTAATGAATGGGAATGCTGGGTAATGAATGGGAATGCTGGGTAATTAATGGGAATGATGGGTAATGAATGGGAATGCTGGGTAATGAATGGGAATGATGGGTAATGAATGGGAATTCTGGGAAATTAATGGGAATGCTGGGTAATTAATGGGAATGCTGGGTCATGAATGGGAATCCTTGATTTTCAATGTATCCTCAATTATCCACAATATATTAAATTTAGGATAAACTAAATACAAGTCGTAGATGAATGAGTTTTCACTTAATGCGAATTTTCAGCAACGCATTTACCGTTAAAACAAGGAATTATAAGTAGGCAATTTAGTTGCGTGAATTTTTGAGCATTTTGATTGCGTGACTAATGGCTCTGGTGTGGACCTGACTTAAGAGCGCATGACCCTACTATCAACAGGGGTGGGTGGATTGTTGACAATGTTGTCTCTTGTAGACTAGAACATTTATTTAAAGGATTGAAAATACTACTTTAATATATGCATTCTTATTGTTTATAGACAATGACATATTGGTTTTTGTAATTTTGTTATTCAAATGTTGTTAATCGTAGTGAACTCGTGCATCTGTAAAATACATATTGGATTACTAAAAAAGTGTACTTTATATTAAAAGCATGCTAAAATATTCGTCATCTCCAGATATAAATGGCATTTGTATCAACTTGACTGACTCAAGCAAAATAGATTTTGAAGTTTTCCCCATCAGTGGAAGTTACATTTGTATAAATGAGTGTCACGCGAACTACAGCACATTATTCTGCCAAAATGGTGGACAATGCGAGATCACTGAAGAGAAGCCACGTACTCCAGTATGCTAGTAAGTACACACACATGAAGTTCACAATTACCACGTGCGTATTGTGAGAATACTGTATACATTTTAACTGCTTATCTAATCGGTCATTTTGAGTGGATTGCTATGGTCTTTGATCAAATGAGATACGGTTAGCCTCTATGTATTCACCCTCTTGGTTGCAACTGTTATTAATGTTGTCCATCAGCTGCATTTCTTTCCCTATAATCTAGTATAAAAGCCCGGCGTTCCGTTTGGTCCGTCAACTAAATTATAAGAGAACCGTTCTGAAGGCCTCAGTCGAAAGTGGACCCCCACCCACAGATGTTGGCATACACACCGTACATACAAAAGAGTCCAGTTTTATTTTGTAGGCATATATACCAACATCTGTCCCCCCCCCCCCCCACACTTTTCAGACATGTCTCAGCCTGACTGGTCGATTTGGTTTGGAGACTGACTAATCCCACGACCAATATGATCAATCTAAATTATTGTTTCATCCATTATGCAGATATATATTTTCCATCTATTGAGCATTTATTTAAAGTTTTGATAGTTGCGGTCATGGATGGAGGGTGCAATAAAATAAATGTCTAATGAACTTTGAGGTACAACGCAGTAGTATCTGCACACGTGGTGGTGGGGGGGAAGAGGACGTCAGTGGGGGCGACGGGCTGAGCGCGAAGCACCGACAAAGCCCTCCTCCTGCAGGACAAAAAATCCTACTGTTATATTTTGACCTATTTCGTTAAGATTGCTGTTGTGTGTTACTTTTCTTCTTCTTGTTTCTTTCGGTAAAGTCACGTGACTTTACCGAAAGAAACAAGAAGATGAATCCCTGCAGTCACGAAAGCTTTAAATCGAAATGTGTTACTTTTGTTTTACAAATACTTGTTCTCATACAGTTGGCTGGTAATTGTTTTGTAATTATCAATGCTCATCTTGATAGTCATGGCAATTACCACCAAATGTGGTCAAGTATGATCTTTTTGTATTCATAGGCCATAGGCATCATTTTAGAGACATGAATTCTAGTTATTTTGCCCGATCATGTCACTGTTATTTTAGTAATGTTTAATGTTATTTCAGAATACAAATTTTACGCACTTAATTTTGTAAACACTTTTGAGAAATGTTATCAACTTTGGTAGAGAATGCTGCAATACATTCCTCAAACAAAATTCAACAATGAAACACAGCCACACAGCGCCGGTGTAGCTCACAGCGTAACTTACGAATTATAATGTTTATTTGTGTTTGCGTGACAAAGTGGTCAGAGCACGCAGCTTACAATCAGAAGGCTGTGAATTTATAATCCTTCTGTCCGTGGTGTCAATAAGATTTGCACTCTGTGGGAAGTAGGCAGTGGTTCTTCTATGGAGTGACTCACCCCTGGAAGGATTGTCGAATTTCCACAACGAGATAAAGGCTATAAACATTAGATTAGTACCACCTCACTGCATGTTTGAGGGGAAAACCACCACTATCTTTATGCGTGCAAATGCTTTAAAACCATAGAGATCGTTTGGGAGTCCCTCTGTTCTTCTTGAGATGTCTGCTGCACTGCCAACAGCTATAACGCTATTTCAAGGGCAGTTGTATTCATCAGGTTCACCATATGCCATGATTATTATTATAAGTCAAATGTTTAAAATGTGAATTCATTTTGCATACATTTTTAACAAGGAGAATGGTTTTTATTTCAGTTGCCGAGATTTTTACATTGGTATAAATTGTGAAAAAATTGACGCCGGTCTGGTTGCTGGGATCACCGTACCACTCGTTGTGTTGCTCATGGCCACCATTATTTTGACTGTGGTGATGATCAAGAGAAGCAAGAAAAAAAAAGCTTCTAAAGCCAGGTAAGAAACGAACGCCAGCACTGGCTAGAGCAGTGTTCTTCACTACTTCTCAGAAGGTGGTCCACTTTCACTGACGAGACATCACCACCATTGGAACCTCATTTGCCAGTAGAAAAATATGATAATTGGTTTTTTACCCTTTTATCTGGCAACAAAACTGACACCTTTTTTACGAGGAGTCATGTTTGCATAGACCACAATACCTGCAGTCATAATAACAATCAACTTCAAGGACAGTGCATACATTATCAGAGTTATGTTTTTTTTTGTTTGCATTATGACTGCAGGTAGTGTGGTCTATGCAATGACTCCTCGTAAAAAGGTGTCAGTTTTGTTGCCAGATAAAAGGGTAAAAAACCAATTATCATATGAGACATCACCATGTGTGAGGGCCGCCACACTGCACGTCAAGGGGCGGCAGTGAAGTCAACCAATGGCTGCCAGTGGCCCGCGGGCCTTGGCATTGAAGAACACTGGGCTAGAAGATGACCACGCTCATCGGTTTAAAAAGCAATAAGCACGTTTTATATTTGCTACGTGGTCCATACATATAACTAGGACATAATTCAGGCTTGGTATGTCCAGGTCAGCAATGTCTAAGAAAAGTTTCAACTCCCGGCACACCACATTGATGATTATTATAATACATCTCGCTATGGCTGTGGCTTCAAGTCGCGTGCCTACCACCGACAGCATAACATATTCAGCTAAATAGATTAAGCCCTGCGATAAAAAAAAAACACAAATACATTCTGCACATAATGTCCAAATGCCTCCATAGCAACAAATACACTGACACAGATATTTCAAACATGTCCATGTGACTAGATTGTTGTGATGTTGAATGTGTTGAGTGCCACGGCGTTCTCGCGGTTAGCACAAAGGGTCAGTGGGTGCGTGTGGTGTTTACAAGCATTGTTAACCTTGGTGCATTTGTTTATGATGGCCCTACAAATCGTTCTGCAGTCAGTCGTGCCAATCGCCCATTGATAGAGATGAGATTACTTGCACGACTGGCAACCAATAAACATCAATGGTATAGTGCAAGGCCCTAATCAGGTATATGCCATACATTGGGCTCTTTTGAGCTTTGCCACAATTCTTGAAGCATGATTAGGCATCATATTGGAACTTTGTACGCCAATATTCCTGTTCACGTTTAGTGGCGCAATGAGTTCTACAACGTAATAGAACTTTGAACACTTGCTAATGCAATTTACATTGGGCTGAAAGTTAAAAATAATGTTTATAGGTGTTATTCACCAGCACAGTCATGTACATTTTTTTAAAGGGAAATATAATTCATTTAACATGCTTGAGGGAATATCATGAAAAGAGTCTTCCCTACGAAAACAAGTGCCAAGCTAGAACATGAATGTCTATATATCGATATATTATTCAATACAAAACGTGCTATTCTGAAGAGAGGCATGTTTAACTTTGGCATAGTTCAAATATACTGTGTTATTTTCAATAAACACTCCACAAAAAAAAGGAACAAGATATACATTGTTTCCATGACATCATTTTCTGGTGCCATTCAAGACCTCATGGCCTATAATTCTGAATGCCTAAAGTGTTGTCAAAAGCGACGCATTTCTCACGAGACCTCCCCATTAGATTACCCATTTCCTCATCGTATTCAAGCAACCCACGTGGGTAGTGATTCATTCTGTTTCATGAGGCAAAAACAAAAGTGATTAAATATAACAGGAATATGTATTTGTTTAATTTATATGTAGCTGTAATTGTTAATTTACTAAATAATTTTATCAAAATGTATATTTTACAATGGGGAATATGATTTTGCTTCTTCCTAATTATATGTAAAATCACATTTTACATTGCTACCCTTGGCGAGTTTTATATCATCGGACAAATGTTCAATGTAGTGACACTTACATCTTCTTATGCTGTTCCCTTCCTCATTTGTGAATTAATACAAACACCTACGTGTTCTCTTGTGCGATGCATTACGATGACAACGGGTGTGACACTATGTATGTATGTATGTTGAACGTCCTTTTCACCGTACGTAGCCAACCATGTTTATCGGAGGTGGGGGTGAAGGACAACAAAATAAACACAACAACAAGCAGATATTTACTTATAAAATGTGGTCACGTCTGGTGTTTAGCCGTATTTTGAAAATAACGCTCAGTTCAATTGTGCTAAAAGTACGTCATCGTTGCCTCTGCAATTAATTGTGTTGTTTAACTTCGTTCATAGCGAGTGTGTTTGTAATACTCCGCCGCTTTATATTTTTTGACAGCGTCAGAAACTACGAATACGCTGATGAACATTGGAAAGGAGAAAATGATGACTCGCCAGGTTCCCACGACAACCCACTCTACGATCCCTCCTCAGACAAAATAGGTATGTGGTATGATGGGACCTTCCCTGCCATCACACCTGTTAGCGTGACTGAATGTGATCAGGAGGTGATCGTATTGTTTGTGCTGTACACTCGTTTCTACATCTGCCTGATGCTAGTAACTTTGCAAGTCTTCGTGGATTAGCACGGTTGGCTACGTGTGGTGCGAAAGAAGTTCTACATACATACATGACATCCATCACATCGGTTCAGTTGCTTTTATTTGCAACTGGGTGAGAGCCCTCGGATTGCGTTTTGTGGTATTGTTCGGCATGATGTCTGTGACGTTTGTCTCCACGTGCTGGCAGCTTCGTCACAAAGAGACTTCAGATAATTGGCATCGTGTCATAGCGCACCGACATATCCATTCAGAACATATTTTGGCATTCTTTTTACTTACAATTAATGTTCTCTTAGTAAAAAAAAAATACTGCATATCTCATTTACAGACGGATGGTTAGCATGTATGAGCTGAGGGTACACTTGCTGGTGAATCAGTAACAGTTCTCAAGAAAGCGACTCTTTCTTCCTGTAAATTTATTACGATTTACAACAATCGTAACAAAAATGTAAAGTACACGTAACGCTACTACTTTGCACACGAAAGATGCTAATCGTATAAATAAGGGTTGATTATAAATTGCATATGGTCAATCAGCAGTGTGTGGTGGATTAAAGTGTGGGTAGTCACACTTTTTCCAAGATGTCTGGCCAGCTTAGAAGATTATGCTAAATATTACTGGTAGGGACCCTCCTGGTTACACCAGCCCACATGGGAATTATTGTGTCCGTCGTGCAGGGAGGGGCTGGGTGGGGAGGGAGGGTGGGAGGGCTGGGTGGGGAGGATGGGGCTGGGTGGGGAGGGGAGGGTGGGGCTGGGTGGGCTGGGTGGGAAGGGGCTGGTCACCCCGTGGTGCCCTTATAAAACTCAACGTTTAACCTACTCACGGCCGGCTTGTGCCCACCCTCACAGTCGGGCATATTTGCGGAATACACCACGCCGCCGTTGACCCTGGCCATTGACCGAGCAACCCAACGTTCCTACCAGCTCCCTTCCGCAGGAATGTGTTATCTGTGGGGACACTCAAGAGCTGTCTTTGGTGTAGGCCCTTCCACTAGAAGTGGCATGAGCAAAAAATAGCAGGGCTGCACCTCTACCCTTTACATAGCTCAGTTATGCTTAACTTAATGATGCAGAGGAAGACGTGTCCTACCTTGTTCGTATGTATATATGTTGAACTCATCTCGCACCGTACATCGCCAACCGTGCCAATCGGCAAGGAAAACAAACTCAACACAAAAATCAGTTCTAAAGAAATGAGTTTTCAATCTAGATTGAAAAGTGCATAGCTCCAGTGGCTTCCTAGTATCGGAAGGAAGAGCGTTCCAGACGACCCCAGAAGCGCATCTGAAAAGGCGCGATGCGGTGACCGTCTTTGTTCGATGGCCAGCCAGAAGCTGCTGCTGCGAGGAAGACCGGAGTTCGCGTGACGGTTTATGTTCCTTATTTCCCATAGATATCAAAAGCTGTCCCTTGGGCCTCAAGCTCACATCTATGGATTAAACTCAGTGTTCGTTCCCCAGAGGGGGTACACAATATTTACATGCAGTATGTCCCACCTCCAGTGCCTGTCGAGTTGTTTTAATGGCCACGACAGATGTTCTTAGCGCCCATCCAACTGGCAGGGGATCGCCATGCAGTTGCATTGAAGCCACAATGGTTGAAGTGGCAGCCATTAAACTTCTTTTATTCACTCGTGCCACGTTATTTTTTCTCTCTCTCTGCAACGCTGGGTATGTTATTAAGGCTAATTTTAATAACATAATATACGGGTGGGACATTGAGCTCTGGGTCCGCGAAATATGTGCGTGCTAAAAATTGTGTCATTGATTTTAGTATGATTGGAAGAATAAACTGCTTTTTTTTTACTTGAAAGCTACAACCAACAGTCAGGCACAATGAAATACGTGATGCATGGATATAGGAAAAAAGTTGTAGTATAGCGTACCGTACATGTTTTACATGCAAGCTGTGTCTGTAGAGGTGTATGTCCATCCCTGCCATCGATCGCCTCTCCGTGCCGTTTGGATCCTGAGGGTTATTATTCCATTCTTGGGTTTGACGAGCATAGACGTGGGAGCACATTGCAGTATAATTACACGACAATGACGTTTGCTGCACTATCCTATACTGCCCACAACGTAGTCCTGCAGCAGTCTGTAAGTCCTGTCTCCAGGCTCAGGCCTGCTTAGCTTCCAAGATCCGGCAAGACAGGCACACTCCGGGTGGTTTGATCACAGGCACGCTTTCTGCACAGAATAGCCTACTCTGCTATGACAATATTTCGGAACATATATTTCGCCTTGGGTGACTAAACATTATTTTTAAAGGCAAGCTGACCCACATATCCTTATTGTGCATACCTCTCATGCGCTGCAGTTGTTGATTGGAACTCACAGACTGAATCAATTTGTAAATACACGTCCTCGATAGAGCCCCTATGCAATGCCTTATTTCTTACATGATCTTAAAGGTTGTAAACCTTATTGCATTGTATTGGCCATGCATTCGTGTATATACCATTGTTTATTAGGCTAATATTCTGCTGTAAGAGAATGCATTTGCACACGTAAAGCTTTATTTTGTATATACAATAATAATGCAAATGATTTGCCCTTCTAAATGTCTAAAATAGTGTTTAATAATATCCATAGCAAATTCGTAGTTTCAAGTGTGCACAAATATAATAGTTTTTTTGGTGTTAGATGGCGTAAATATAAATGTGTCGTTAAACGCGCCACCACCCGACACAGCCGATTATTAAGATTTGTCACGTAAACAGAGCATGCCAATTCGTTACTAGTGCAGCAACACCGGTGTGTTGGAGAGCAAATCTACAGCATTTACAATCTGAGTGTACGACGTTTCGCCAGCATCATCAGGCGGCAGCCAAATTTGGTGGTGGCGGGTTTAACGTCACATTCATATTTACGCCATCTAACCCCAAAAACCATGTATTATGGATGATATTGGTCGCGAAAGCCTACGTGTGAAACTGTACACAAATACATTGTGGTTTTAAGTGAACATCACAGAAACCACTAATTTACAATGCTACGGTGACCATCGCATAGTCAAAAGTTTCTCCTCACATTCAACGTGGCAAAATTTAGCTCTAGCACACTTGAAGACGCACTTCGTCATGGATAATGAAACTGCGTGGGTTCATGCCGTCGTGTTGTGGAGCCCTCCGATGCGTTTTCGGGTCTCGTTTGGTGCGGCGTGTCGATGCTCCTTCAGAAAACGTTTTACCTTACGATCTTTTTTGGCCCACATTCCGGGGAGCTACTTAGTTAAGTTCTTGATAACATCATGCCGAACAAAAATACGGTCACAACCTCAAAAAAAATCTGCATGGGTTGTTTATTTGTAAAAAATGCGCGTGGAAAAGTGAAAGGCTAACCATTGCTCGCAAATGGGTTCAGTAGCTCTTGGACACGCAACCCTTTTGTTGTGGCACGCTAATGTTGTTTCTCCAGCATTCAGCGTTCACACTTGTTCTCAAGTTTATATCCAGGTGGAGTTCAAGGCCATAGCCATGCATTGTAAAATGAATGACACTAACAGTCTTTTAACACTGCATTTTATAAGGCAGTCATTTGCGTGATAAAGTCCAGCAACAGATGAAGTCCACATATAATCTTTACTGTTAATAGTCATTGCCCTTCCTAAAGTGGAGGGAAATGCTATTCGAGGTACATTCACTGTGCGTGTCCAAGTACATGTATTGTTTCATGTTGATATGAATCAGGTTACCCGAGTTTGTTTCCCGGCCATAGCTAACATTATCGGTTATATCTGAACCGGCCTGACACCCACCCCCTTTGGTGGACCCACAATGACCACCATGGAGAAGTATGTTTGAACGACCCCCAATCACATGGAGGCCTTTGTCCAGCATTGCATTGACACAAAGATGCAATTTGTTTTGTATAGCTACCTTAACAGAGTCGCGTGCATTTATATCCTCGAGTACAGGGGTTGCAAGTGAGGTTCTTCTCCCGTCATATGGTTCGCTGCAGAAATGGCAAACTTATTGCAGGGTAGCAGCAAGTTGTCAAAGGTGCACAGAAATTTTTCGTTGGGGCCGTACGCCGAGGAGATCGGACATTCTCCTATGGCTCGCTGCTCCGACCAGGGAGGCCGACGAACAGCGTTCGGTCTACCAGCGTGGAAATAATCCAGACAATCGATCGTGTGCATCCGATTCGATAACACTGCCAGATGCACCGTATAGATTGTACAAAAAACACAACTCCTTTTTTTAATGTACAATCACTATGTGATTAAGGCAATACATTCCGCTTCACTTTGTCCATCAAGCACCAAATGCAATGCATAGTTTCGATTATTTTACGCGTTGGGAAACAGAGCTAAACAACACTGCATAGAGTACTGCCCTGTATTTTCTGTCGATATGCAATGAAAGAGTCAGCTTGTGATTTAGATAGGAGAGTAGCCATGGGTGTCTTTGAAGCGTTGGAATTCGAGGTGATTTACCGGAGAATGAATGAGACCCATGCAAGTTTTGTGTTGTAGGTATCTTAAGATTCGAGGATATCGGTCCAACATAAACACTTTGTATAGGTGTGGGACTAAGTTATGTGTGTATGTATTAAATATTAACTTGGCCCACTGAATTGCCCTCCGCGATGGTATGTATGTTAAACTTATTTCGCACTATATGTAGCCAACCGTGCTAATCGGAGGGGGGCAAAAAACTAAAAACAAAAAGCAGTTCTAAAGAAATGAATTTTCAATCTACATGAAAAATGCAATGCTCCAGTGGCTTCCTAATAGCGGAAGGAAGAGCGTTCTAGACGGCCGCAGAAGCGCATTTGAAAGCGCGCGATGCAGTGACCGTCTTTGTTCGATGTTGGCTGAACATCAATCAGTGTCATATATGCTATGGAATGTTATTAATATTGATTTTCTGGTGGTGTTGTAATGCAGAAGACGTCATTCCACCTGGAGTCTTTAAACCCACCCTTGAAAATGTCACCCAAGAAGTGGTAAGTTATGCAGTGTTAATTACCTGTTGAACCCAGGAGTTGGTTTCGTACAAGGAAAACTAGATCAAGTAATTTACTTGTGTTCTATATAAATCTACTTTACTGACTATATTAATCCAGTACTCTGCATTTAAATTGTAGACATAGTAGTATAGTCTTTTTAACACGTGTTGTGATTTTTGTTATTTTTGCAGATAACATTCCAAAGACCTGAGATAACCATACTTTAAAATAGCTGTGGGCAATACGTGGATCGCAAAATACTTTTGTGGCTCTCAGGACAAATCACAACAAACATCTCTCCCATCCAATTACTAACCAGGCTCGGTCCTACTTAGCTTCAGAGATCGGACGAGATCGGGCACATTCAGGGTGATATTGGGTGTGCCCCGGTGGCAAAAAGTTAACTACCTCGCCTGGTATACAAGAGGTCATGGATTTTATTCCAACCCTGACGCCTGCTGAATATTTGGAGTTTGCATGTCTCTCTCCCCGTGGTCGCGTGGATTTTTCTCCTGGTTCCTCCGGTTTTTCCCTCCACATTTAGAAACATGTCTTTAGAGTTCGGTGTCTTGACCATCGTTGCTTGAAATGTAAATGAACACTCAAACACTGACGGCTGTGTTCCATCGATTTGCAATGGCGATTACGTTCGATAGCATAAAGGACAGATACCGCGAGAACAAACCAATAATTGTGCTGTGAAGGGACTACAAAACGAAGAAACATTCCCCAAATGTTATTCACCTTCCATGTGCCCCCCTTAAAGTACAGGGACTCCTCTACTTACGAACGAGTTAGGCTCCAGAGGTCTAAATTTCGATTTAAAGCTTTCGTGACTGCAGGGATTCATCTTCTTGGTTCTTTCGGTAAAATCACGTAGAAGAGAAATAATAAAAATAAAACATAATAAAATACAATTCTCACGACGTTTCGGCCACAACGCAAGCAGAAAGACAGCTGTCTTTCCGACAGACCTGTTCTTCACCTGAGGACGGCTGCTTGCGTTGTGGCCGAAACGTCGTGAGAATTGTATTTTATTATGTTTTATTTTTATTATTTTATTATTTCCCTTCTACGTGACTCCAGAGGTCTGTTCGTAAGTCGATTTGTTCATGAGTCCAACTTCACTCCTGTCGATTCCAAACGTGCTGTATTAGCGTGTACACTAAACACAGGGAATGGCTTTAAAAGTTGCATAATCTTCTGTAGATGCAGATGCCACTGGTTATTCATGTTCTGCAGATGTAGATGCCACCACAGCCATCTATCACGCTGCGGTTGAACTTACTACCCTCTGTCCAAACAGGCAAATGCACATGCGGACAGGTTTATTCGTTCTTGATTTGAAGCTTTAGTGACTGCAGGAATCCATACTCTTTGGTTCTTTCGTATCTCTGAAAGTCGTAAATTGAATGTTCTTAAGCAGAGGAGTCCCTGTACTGTGAAATGTCGGTGGTAAACGGTGGCAATTTATTAACTAAACATTGATTGGTTTACACGGGAGATATTATTTACATAAAAACATGATATGCACTAAAGTGGTTATTTTTCACTTGTCACATTGATGATTTTAACACATAATTTAGAATGGCTGCACTTTTCTGACAACAAGATTTACACTTTAACCAATTCACCGAGTTTACGTCATATATTTTTTTCAATGTAATATATACGTGAATCATAAAGAGTCAATTATTCACATTGTTTTTGTTTCTTCATTTAAAGAAAAAAATATAGTGGTTTACAAAAATCATATTATTTATATATATAGGGTGCTTAACAATGTTAACACTCATATGGGACGATCGTTTTTTATAGAAATATAATGGATAAAACACTCTAGCATGATAACAAATGTATGTTAATAGCTTCAAAAAGTCAAAGAGTCTCCACTCGTTCGCCATCATTGTCAACGCGTGCCTGGAATCTTCTCCACGTGGTCTCCAGAGGCCGGAGGCACATTTCTTGTGATGTTGTTGCAAATTCTCAGAAGTGTTAAAAAAAATTAAGCATCCTGTATTATGTATGTATGTATCGCGTAAATACATTTACATTGGTTTAGGTCTACAATTGACAATAGTTTAGCTCGAGAGGTATATAGAACAATTTGCTTTCTTACTGCTGAGTTAAACCAACTATAAAGACACACTACCACTGCCTAACTGCGTAATGCAACTTGGTTGGTCACTGCAAGCGTGTTGGGAATAACCCATCATGCAACTGTACATGCAATGGATGCTGACAAATGATCTGAGACCTTTGTGCCAGTATCCAAAATGATGAAAAATAAGAATAGGTTTTACAATTTCTGTCAATAAAACAGGTGTTAAGATGTGCAAACAACAAATAGATAGCTTTTGCAAGGCATGAAGTCTGCATTAACCACAGGTACTTGTGGTGAACGTGCAAACAAACATGCTCTGATAACAATATAGGCATTGTCTTTGAAACTGATTGGCCTACACCAGAGACAGCCTTCTTCATGACCTCGTCTCACCACCGGTGTTAGACCAGAGAACGCCAAAAGGCGACCAGTACACAGACAATGCATGCATCAGAACACTCACAGCTATATCAATGGGATAGCTTTTGAAACATGTACCTGCAAACTACTCAATTTGGATTACACACCGCGACGTCGCGCGAACACTTGGCAGGACCCTCCTGAAAAAGTCTTGGGACTCCATGAGGCCTGCCTGGATAAATGCAACCGTAACAATAATAATGATAATGGCTGATAAAGATGTAACCCTACGAACACTGCGCACATGCAGTACAGTAAAAAGGTTACATTGAGTCTCGCATGGCCCTGCTGGAGATGTTTGATGGATCCATAATACAGTTTCTTTGGGTTATCGCGTAAATATATAAATGTGTTGTTACCACCACCACCCGACACAGCCAATTGGTAAGGTTTGTCACGTAAACAGAACATGCCAATTCATTAATTGAGCACTCAAAGCACATTTCCACCTGAGCAGAGAGACACTTTGACATTTTTACTTACCATAATAGTATAAATATGAAGCTGTATTCAACAACTGCACGATGACATGTAATATTTAACATTTTGACTTACAATTTTCGTGACTGCAGGAATTCATATTCTTGGTTCTTTCGGTAAAGTCACGTAGATAGAAAATAAAGTAAAAATAATAAAATAAACATTAAAAATAAAATTCAAATAATAATAAAAGCAAAAGGCGAGGAGCCGGAGGGGGCAGGGGGCAGGTGACTTTACTGAAAGAACCAAGAATATATTTTACATCATTTCAAATTATTTCAAGTCTAGGTTGCAACTTCTGGACCGAAAGAGTGACCAACGTAGAAGTAAGAAAAAGGTTGCCCATAGAAGACAACTTGATGATGATGCAGGCCAGTGGGGGGGGGGGGGGTGGCACGTGCTCCCCTGATGATCTGATCGAATTTAGGGATTTCGATCGGATCATTGGGGTTTATTAGTAATAAATCGGCATTTTGCGACCCCCAGCGCCACTGTGTAGCATATTATTACGTGCCTGGGACTATGAGATGATAGGACAATAGTCTGAGTCCATAATTGGCAATAAGTAACGGCAAAGCGGTTATAAGCGACTCACAGAATTGTGCGTAGTTGCGTATACAGTCCACGACTTCCCTGAAGGCATTCACCTTCAGCGAGCGCTGATGCTGATCACACAACGCGGTTCGAATTCGACCCTCAATCGATGGCTGCGCCATCGCCACACACGCATTAAATAATTAGCAAGGGACAAGTCCTTACTTACTAACAACTCCTCGATAATTTTTCATTGCTGACTCCGCCATTGATGCAGGCAGTGATGAGAAGGAAACTGGCACCATTTGGACACACAAGTAGGATGGACAACAACAAGATCATTCAAAGTGTGTTGTGGTTCGGAAAAATGGAAGGAATCGGAATGAGAAGAAGAGCTAACGGAGAATGGCTTGATGACGACGACAGAGATTGGTGCTCGAAAGATGTGGCAACTACGACTTGAGAATATTGGCACAAGACAGAGGAAAGTGGAAACAAATGACGAAAGCGCAGTGTACACCTACGGGCTATCCGCCCATGGACCGTGATGATGATGAGGTTGCAATTTCACAGGTGGATGATACTGCATATTAGCAGTTGCTCAGCGGTAGAGTGAATGGCTCGCAATCGGAAGGAGGCGAGTTCATATCCTGGTTAGGGGGTTTGACTCACCTCATCATCAACCCTTGGTCCAATAAGATGAGTGCCGCTTCGTGAGGAAGTCAACAGTGGTTGTCCGTGCCATAGGAACGTGGAATTTCCACCAATAACTCAGAGCTGTGAGGGGAAGATGAGCACCAATGTCTAAATGCTCATTTGCACAGAAAGTCACTTTAACGACTTGAACATTCGAGTCACGGTTATTGGATCAGTTGGTCCTTAGACATATTTTTATTATCCCCGTTAAGAAGTCAATTAATAAAAAGGTATTCGCATGGTCACAATATTAATACATTCCGAAGATTGTTCAAACATAGTAAATGCACTAAAGGTTACTTCCACTGCCGTGTACATTGTATGTGTTTGTAGCAGCATTGCATTAATTGCCTAACTGAAACTTTGAACAGTGCACACAGCCGATGGAGTTGCATGCACCCGTCATTTAATGTCATTTGGGGTAAAGTAAAGATCACTAAAATAATGAGCCAAGAATGCCTGTTTGTGTGTAACGCGCGTGACGTCACTCCACGTTGACCAGACCCCCTCAATAATAATCATGAATTGGTCCTATTCTTTGGTTCTTTCGGTAAAGTCACGTAGATAGAAAATAAAATAAAATAAATAATTAAAGCTCACGACGTTTCGATCGCAACACAAGCGGTCGTCATCAGGCGGAGAGAAAAGGGGGGTAAGCAACAAGGGGTGGGGTCCTCCACATGGACCCCCCTCCCCTCATTAATAATCATGAGTGGGTGACGTCACTCCTCATGGATCACCCCCACCCCACTCATTAATAATCATGCGCAGGGGACGTCCTCCAAATGGACCCCCCCCCCTCATTAATACTCATGAGCAGGTGACGTCACTCCACATGGGGGGGCGAGGCGCCTCCTCCCCCCTTCTCGGCGTCAACTTACAACCCTCACTAAAAAGGCAGAACCCTCGCGTCACGTGATCTCCGTAACGCTGTTGAGACATAGAAGTAAAAAGGACGTCGTGATGAACAAGGGATTATAACCTTAAAATGAAATAGGTCTGTGTCACCGCGCCCTTACAAATTGCACACGCATTAATGCAATGAATATCATGTCGCGGTCTGCTTTTCGCTTGCAAGTTTCAGATTAATAGCTGTCGTGGCCAACAGCTTTGTCACTGCTTCCTGTAAACCTGCTCACAATGCTCGTATAAATGTAAGATTGTAGTTGTTGCTCTGCATCTACATCACCCCATACGAAGGAAGAAAAATGCGCAAATGCCTGATGATTGCACTGCAAGTGCCATAGGCCCTGCCCGAGCAGCCTCGGGTGTATATTTGCGATTACTTAGGAATGCGTTAAATTTAACAATCACCAACTTATCGACGGCCAAGATATGCCCCCCATTAGGTGTGCAAAGTCTCATTCCAATTGCACCTATATACAAGTACTTGGATCGAGGATATTCAATCAACGCTAGCCCAACGTTGCCCCAAGTTGGCCCAACGTTTGCATGTTTACTGGGTCGCTAGCTCTGGCTGTGGATGTTGCACCGTTTTGTAGCACCGCAGATCGACACGAAAGAGGAATTATTTTGCCGATTACCTGAGGCGCTCACGTTAGCGATTGCTCTCAGACAAGTGAAACTGCCAGGCTGCTTCTATCTTTTGATTGATCCGATTGCTTTCCTCTGTTGCTGTACTTTGTCTCTTATTTATTTTGTTATGTTTGGTGACAAAGGTCGCTAATATCAACGAGGCTTATCCTGGCCTCTTGAGTTCTCCCACCTGAATAAACAAAATATTCTTAAACACTTGAACTTGTGCATGAGAACACTGATAAAGAATGGTTGTTTTGTCACCTGCAGCAAACTTAACCATAATGTACGATTTATTCGAGGTGACATTTATAACGGCTTTGAAAGTTAAGCTACACTGGGCACGTCTGATTTATAGTGTTTTCAAATTAGTTTTGTTTAGCTCACCGATGTCTTCTCGGGTGTTGTTCGGCACAGTGTCTGACGTTTCTCCCCACGTGCTGGTGCCTTCTTCAGGAACACGAGGTACAGCACAACTGCCAAGCCTCACGCGGTAGCGTTTGTTCAAACAGGCATGAAACCATTCGCCCCCTTTCACGATTAAATGAACTGTCACGAATTAGGGCCATGGCTGAGTTAGAGAACCAATTATTTTGGTTGCCATTATAGTGCATATAGAAGTCGGCATTATGCAAACGGTTACTAACAAGCTCCGTGATAAGAAGGCTCAGCTAATCGAGTTTCTCACCTTTCTGAAGAGATGCCGCGACTCTAAGGTAATACCAAACGCATTTGCACTAACATCTGCTGCTGTAACTTCTTCTAATGCTAAACGAATTCTGTCTAGAACTAGCTTAGCTCTTATCTCAGAGAAAATCAGACTTACGCGCACCGATCTAGATCAGTTAGACAAGACACTCTACAAATCACACTTATCTTTGAGTGCAACAATGTCCACATCGGATTGGGAACATGTAGACAAAATGA